ATATGTGTATATATGTATATATATGTGTGTATATATATATATATATATATATATATGTGTATATGTATGTATATATGTATATATATATATAATATATACTATTTTTACTTATTTAAAGAGTTTGTTCACTGACATTAGCAGCGTTGTGTTGAGACTTGAGAGCATATGGCAGTCCGTAGGTGTGTGCACTGAAGTTGTCAGTTTAGCAGTAAATGTACAGTGTAGGTTAGTTTGTCGGAAGTCCGAAGTAAAGTCCCTGACTGTGAGTGAAGGGGGGGTTGTCGTGTTGACAATGTCAGGTGTGCATAGAGGGGAGGAAATACTCAGACGCATCCGTTGCCTTGCAGAGGAAGGGGGGCTGAGCAAATGAATCAACATGCTGCGCACAGCTCTGCGATGACATTAGATTTATTCATTTTAAATAGTAAAAGAAACTAAAACATGTTGAGCTCAACATTGATATTGTGGTGGGCCGATGGATTTATGGGAGACACTGCATTTTAATGATGAGAATCAGTTGAGTGCAGCAGATAAGATTTTGAGCAGGAAAGTTATGTGGGATATGATATTGGCATAAAATATCTCCCATGTCTAGATGTGACAGATGTCTTGTTAATGTTGCGTACAGAGCTATAACGGTACAGGTTATTCTGAGTAATATTATGGGCATTCACTAGAAACTCTGACCTCTGCCACACTTCTTCTCCCCCTCTTCCCCCTCTGAAATATTTTAGATCAACAGCTCCATCTGCCTCCTGCGGGGTAAGATCTATGATGCCATGGACAACAGACCACTGGCCACCTCCAGCTACAAAGAGGCCTTGAAACTGGATGTGTACTGCTTTGAAGCCTTTGACCTTTTAACGTCCCACCACATGTTGACCGCGCAGGAAGGTGAGGCTGATCTGTTGCAATGATGTGCACTGATCTTTTAATTTTCTACAAATATGTGCCATTTATCATTTCAGTAACTTGTGAAGGCAGTTTATGTGAAACATGTTTTTCAATGTTCAATAGAGAAAGACTTCCTTGACTCGCTTCCTCTGAGTCAACAGTGCACTGAGGAAGAGGAGGAGCTGTTACACTTCCTATTTGAGAATAAGTTAAAGAAGGTAGGGGTCTCTGTGAAAATCACTCTTGCTTATTAATTCGTTGTTCAATTAAAGATTAGGTTGGTGGTATTTTTCTTATTGTCGACTAATCCCACAACAAAGGCCAAAACCAACAATGAATTGATATGAATAACAAATATTCTCTCTGTAGCCAAACCCTGATATAAATCATAGTTTGCTTGTTTGTGCCATATACACATTGTTATTCCATTGTTGTCCAACAATTAAAGGCACATAATTTAGCCATGTTGTTGCACAGAATGATACTCGGAATAATATACCCATGTAATGAGGGATCTTTCATTACAATGAACATGGGAGCTGCAGTTTATTTAGAGTCAATCTCAGAATTACCATCTTGCCTTATCCATTAATTGATCCTTTTTGCCGAGCTTCATTTGTATACTGTCAAAATAAATTGAAATGCAAATGCCTATTATGGATATTCTCGCCTGTTTTCGTTCTAACCCCTCTTCATCTGTCTCCTTGTCTCCTCTCCTTGCTTTATCTCTTCCCCCCACCTACTCACATTTAAACCCTACACCCGCTTTCACACACATGCATAAACACACACTCTCCTCCCCGCTGCAGTATAACAAGCCCAGTGATTTGGTGGTGCCAGAGATGGTCAATGGTCTTCAGGACAACTTGGATGTAGTGGTGTCTCTTGCTGAGAGGCATTATTATAACTGTGATTTCAAGATGTGCTACAAACTCACATCAATGTAGGTGCATTCAGGTTTCCTCTCAGTTTGTGGTTTGTTTGGTTTTTTTAACTAGTGGCAAATATTGCAGATCATTTAGATTAATAAGGAGACACTTGTGTATGAATTTTGATTGATGAACTATATGTTATAATGTAAGCAAATTTAGATTTTTGTACTTTTGGCTGTTGACTAGAGTTGATGTAGGTTAAAATATATCTCACTTCTCCTACTTTCCCATTAGAAAGTTGACATGAGTAGATTTTCTCAGTTGCCTTTTGTATTTTCCCAAATTGGATATGATGTGAAGAGAGCTTTTTTAGCTAGGTTGGCCAAAATGAAAAATATGTTTTACCTAAATGTGTATGTATGTTTGGCCATGGATATGAAACACTTTTATAGTGTGGAATCTAAATAATTTGCCTATTTCATTTTATTATTTTTTTTTAAACCATTAGAACCATTTAATGCAACTCTGTTTTTGTATTTCAGGGTGATGGTTAAAGACCCCTTCCATGCCAATTGTTTACCAGTCCACATAGGAACTCTGGTGGAGCTTGGAAAAGCAAATGGTATATCAACCGCTGATTCACACAGTTTGTTTTTAGTTAGTTTCATTTATTGTTTACTCATCTTTTTCTTTTTTTCCCCTCTGCAGAGTTGTTTTACCTCTCACACAAACTTGTAGACTTGTATCCAAACAACCCAGTAAGTGTTGCAACTTTATCACTATGCATATATTTCAGCTGTTAACACAATTTCCATTATATGATAACCAAATAAAAACTTTTATCAGGTATCCTGGTTTGCAGTTGGGTGCTACTATCTCATGGTTGGCCATAAAAACGAACATGCTCGGCGATACCTGAGGTATGCATTTGCACACTCAAGGGGAAGTACATCCTGTCTGAGGCCACACTGCAGGCTGTTTATATTTAGGTTCAGTTATTCATAATTGTGTATTTTCTGTAGCAAAGCCACTACACTGGAGAGGACGTACGGTCCTGCATGGATTGCCTACGGTCATTCATTTGCAGTGGAGAGTGAGCATGACCAAGCCATGGCTGCCTACTTCACCGCTGCCCAGCTGATGAAAGGGTACGTACACATCCTGGAGTTCTCACCTCTAAATGCTATAAATGGGTGGGGTTTATGTGAAAAACATAGCTGTCTTGTCAGCCTGTATTACAAAAAGAACATTCAATAAAGAAAATCATATCTCTGTAAGTAATGTCTTTTTGAAAAGTTACAGTTGTGCACTGCAGACAGAGCACACACAAACTGTTAGTCAATACAACCCTGCATGGCCACGACTGACTGAAACTTTGCTTTTAGTTTCATAGTTCATTTTTTGAGCTATATTTGTCAAAATAAATGTCAACAGGCAGATCTATAGAGGCATTTATTTTTTATGATTTGAGTTATGTCCTGTCAGCCAAAATGTCCACCAGTTGAAGATGTAGCTTTTGGCTCAGCCTAATGCTCATCCAATAATGGTGCTGCTGCTAGTATATAGCTAAAACAAAATGTTTCAACTTCTGTGAATGTTTCTTAGTTTGTCTTTTCAGTTCAAACTTTCTGCATTCAGAGCAACAAGCTGAAAAAACGCAAACCTGGAAAAAGAAAGCTTAGGTATTGGTCTTTCCAACTGCAGGAACCTTTGTAGGAACTTGAGAAACTAAATAAGATAAGATAAGATAATAATCCATAAATCCATTGACCAAACTAAAAATAACAGGAATTCATGATTACAGTTATTAATATCTGCCAAACATAATATACAGTATTTAAACATAAAGTCTGTTTCCTATTAATTACTTTATTACTTTTTAAGTCTTCCAAACTCAGGTTTTTATTAAAACACAAGACAGGGTAAGATTCAGTCTTGTTTGACGTCTCCTGTCCTCTCTCATCCAGGTGTCACTTACCCATGCTCTACATCGGCCTGGAGTACGGTCTGACCAACAACTCCAAGCTGGCAGAACGTTTCTTCAGCCAGGCTCTTAGTATCGCTCCAGAGGACCCATTTGTCATACACGAGGTGGCAGTGGTTGCCTTTCAAAATGGAGAGTGAGTCTTGCAGCAACAAACACATACAATAACACTCAGGCCTCTAGTTTGACAAGTGTAACATAAGTGTTATTGGCTGCCCAAACGGATGTTTGCACACAGCTGTGCTATGTGCAAAAGCTGGTTTTAACTTAGTAAGAAGTCTATTATACAAGATGAACTGATGTCCATGTACCAGCTATATAAGTGACTGTCTGCATCTGAAATCTTTGAATGACCAATAACTTGCATGACAAAGTTAGAAGTGTCATGGCTGGCTGAAAAATTTACATTTACTGCATTTTACATTACTTTGAGCGTCAGCTAAGACTTACACTTTGTAACAACCAGTGATTAAATTGTACTATCTTATGGGAAGGATCTGAACCGCCCCTCCATGGGGTTACATTACTCAGATTTCCATTCACCTATATTATAGAATTCTGGTTACTGACCCTTTTAAAGCTAGGAAAACTTGTACAAATAGAAATAAAAGTAACTCATAATGCACCTGATGTAAAGATGAGTTGGAACAGCAGTCGCATGGAGGATACACAGATTACACACACACTGATATTTGGTTTATTTTAGTGAAGGTTCAGATATGCCATAAGAATGTTTTTCACTCTACTCTTTTAGCTGGAAGACAGCAGAGAGGTTGTTTCTTGATGCAATGGAGAAGATCAAAGCCATAGGGAACGAGGTAACTACTAATTTATTTAATTGAAAAAGTATACATGTGTGAATGACTCATTTCTTGAAAACATGATAATGTCTCTGTAAGTGCTGATTAATGTATGCTTTTTGCATTTTGTCTTTAAATGTAAGGTCACTGTGGACAAATGGGAGCCATTGTTAAACAACTTGGGTCATGTGTGTCGGAAATTGAAGTAAGTAAAAGACACTTTTACTGTGCAATTTTCTATTTAATTACATGGTCCTAAATAAGCCCAATAGGAGAGCAGGCTGCACTTCCTGGCAGCTCTTTACAGCTCTTAGCATCACAAATTTCACGGTCTTTTTCGAGTTGGCACATATGGTACTAGAGTCAATGATTAAAGAAGATTGGTTATAATTCACTGTCCTCTCATTTGTTCATTCCCCTCCTTTTCTTTCCCCCCACCAGCCTGCTACAAACAGTTTTCAAAGATGTGCTTAATACTTGTTCTGTTATAATCATTCAGTGTAGGTAGGGCCTTCATTGAAAATTCATGAAAAAACCTTTTCATGAATTATGCATAGTCGCCACTCAATAGCTATAAGGGGCTTGCTAAATGTGTTTTGAAAGGTTTGGATAGTTTTTTATGTGGAAAGGGTTTCATCCATACAAAGTGAATACCTCTTGTAGCTTGTAGGTGCGTCAGCAATACATCCATGGTCTTATAAAGCTTCCATTCCTCATGTAAACGAAGGAAATCACAGCTGTGCGGATGTGCAAAGTTCGTAGTGCAATAATCTTTCCCTGAAACAAGATGACCATCAGACCTCATTCAGTCACTTAAATAGTCATTCCTATACAGTGTTTGGTGACAAAGATGTATAATTTATATATTTTATTGTGGTGCTACCTTTGGGTGCTACTTTTAAAAGAAGTTTTGTCTGGGCATGTTTGTCTATCTTTGCCAAGACTATAATATATATAACTATAATTTCTCGACCGTCTGCAATCTAATGTGTGGAACAGTTGAGGGCTCTTTCTAGCATTGTTTGTCTTTTTTGCAGTACTAAAAGCATCACTATCAGCAGACATGTGTTGACAAGGAAGATCTCTTTGGTCATTGTCAGATTAGACCCTCTACACCTACCTGCAAACCTTTGCCTAAGCAATGGCAGCAGCAATTTGCTGATACATGTCATTGTTGCCACCTACAGATTGTTAGTGTTCCTGTACCACAGAGTGATGGATTGAGCAGGAAATAATCTTTGAAATTCAAAATGGTCAACTTCAACTCCAAATGTTACAAAAATACTAGACCCATGCACTCACTGCTTACAATGGTACAACTTTTAAATGCTATTGCGTTCCTTGTCTGTATATGGCATACAGTGCTTTGCTAGCCTTAAACTGCCGGCGCCCTGCAAATTAAACGTAATGGCTGAGCCTAGCTTTTGGTGCTCGGAATCAGTGACTATGGTCTTGTTTGTCAAGCTATACCCCCTGTGTTTGTTGTCATTCCACGACTTCACATGGAAAACTTTTGTTAATTCGGTTAAAAATCTTTTCCAATGTACTGTTTGATGCAATTAGGGATGCATGATAATAGGAAGTTTATATTTATTATGAATTATTGGCATCATTACATTAAAGCCGATGAATTATCAGTGCATAATAATAAACATGAAGTTATAAAGAGTCAGAACGGTTTATTGTTGTGTTAGATTTTGTTAGAACAGAGCAAAAATGGGAAATGATCAGTTACCTTATCGGTATCGGCCACAAGGAGCAGGTAATTAACATTTCCACAAACTTCTGTTTATGAAATTCTGTTGACTCCATTAATATCGTATTCATGTATTATATGTTTGTCTCTGTAGAAAGTACGACCAGGCTCTGGAGTACCACCGTCAGGCACTGGTGTTAATCCCTCAGCACGCCTCCACCTACGCTGCCATAGGATACGTGCACAGCCTCATGGGCGACTTTGAGAGTGCTATTGACTACTTTCATACGGTATAGTGCATTTTCTCCAGTCTGTATGGGTTTTGTTACTCACTTAAAAAACATGGGGATTTAGAACAATAGGAGGATTGATGGCCTCCTAAATAGTTACCATGGAAATAATACTCTTAAAGTAGGACAGAGTCCTTGAAGGACAATTTGTTTTGTACAGATAGCTGTCATTTACAAAACAAAACAAGTATAAGAGCAGCTATAAGACAGATCCAATAAATACTAATAACAAGGGCATGGAAACACCACTAGCTGTACAAAGTAGAAATGAAAATAAAGAGATATTGTATAGTAAATTACCAGAATACACAGTGATGTTTTGGTTTTCAATAGTCAGAATAAACACAAGGGATCACACTAAAGTCTGTAGCATGACCTGTGATTGGTTTTTGTAACAATGTTTGAAGTTGGTTTTCTTTCTTTCTGTGCAGGCACTTGGATTGAAAAGGGACGACACTTTCTCCGTGACGATGCTTGGCCACTGTATTGAGATGTACATCGGTGACACGGATGCCTATATAGGTAGGATACAGCTATACTGCCGTTTCAGAGGAGTTGTTTTCATCTTTGATGGCTGGCTTGAAACATTTGATTATTTGATTGTTACAGAGTCAAACGTCAGTCAGTATTCAACTGGTTACTGTTCACATGTTTACCATGAATAAAATGTTGTCTTTTTTTCTAGATTAAGTGTAAATAGTTGAAACTGTGTTCAAACAGCTGCTAAATATTTGCAGATAAGAAGACACAATTTAGACATGGAGTATCTGACAGGCTGGTAAACTGACTGTTTTTTACAAGAAAATTTAGTTCCTTAATTATTTATTATTTATATTGTATTATTGTTTATTCTCCTCATACAGCAGAGCTCAAACATGTAATTGTATTACACTGAACCAAACAAAACCACTTCTTTGTGTTCACTTGCAGGACCTCAGTTGAGTAGGCGGTCCTTCAGTATGGCCAAGGACACATTTGCGTACACACTGCTAAAAGAATGTGGCCATATGTGACCACCTCCGAATGTGGTCCAAGCAATCAGATCTCAGTGCGTTATGGGCGCATTCACTCCCGCACTAAGAGCTGTCCACTTGTGATCGAATCACCCAAGACCCATGTTAATGCCAGGTGTAAACAGGGCAATTGTCTGTATTTTCTTTGCTGTGAGAACCCCAAACTAAATTTAGAAGTGGCAACAGAAATCTCTGGCAGATATCTCAAACTCTCTGCTGAGAAATCCCAAACCATCTGTGGGGCTAGATACCACAACAGACGAATTTGATTTATTTATTTATTTTTAAATTGGGTCAGCCAAAGTTTTCTCTTTTGTGGCAAGTATTCAAATATCTGTTCTGAGACAAATAATGAGTGGTCCTTTGTTTCCACTCAGGCACAGACATCAATGACAAGGTGCGAGGCAGCTTGAACACTCCAGCGCTGATGAAGATGCTGAACACATCGGAGTCTGGCGACGTTCTGGCCACGCCAAGATTGGAAGACACCAGCATCACATCCTTGGAAACGCCACTGTCTAATCAGGACAAGATGATGCTGGAGACGCCTCTGCGCCTCTCTTTAACCCTGGAGTGCGATATGTATGAGAGCGATATGATGTTAGACACCTTGTCAGACACCAGCACGTGATCTCATCCTGTCAGGAGGTGGAACTGTTGTAGCAACAGGTTGTCTTAGGTACACATATCCAAGCCCAAGGACAACTATCAAACCAAAACTTGGCACCTGTCCTCCACCAAAGGTTTCCTGTGGATTCTCCCTCTTGTGCATTAAATATGCTTGATTCTGTAAGTGACAAAACGTAGAACATGCCCTTATGAACATGAGTAAAAGAGTGTGAATTTGTGTACAGCACCTGCTGTACTGTACATCATATTAACTTTGCAAGAATGCACTTTACCAGGGGAATTAACATGTGCCTTGGTTAAGGGGTTGAGTACTTGGTTTAGCATTGGACCTTGGGTTAAGCCTGAAGACACTGGGAACATGTGGTCCTCTGACACTTGATTGAACAGAGCGAACACAGCCGCACACCTCATGTCAGATCTAAAAGACTATAGTCATTTATTACTGCCTATGGCAGGACCCTCCGTGTTGCTTAACCTGTGGATTTACACGTTGAATAAAGAGCGAGCGAGATACACGCAGTTTTGGTGAAAACAATTCTTGGCAATTCCTACAATAAACCATGCATTTATCTTAAAAGATTTTAGCACATCTGTGTTTGTGTTAATCAGAATAAAGTGTTTGATTTGTAAAACCCACAAAACACATGGAAATAGGGCTGGGTAATTTTTAAAATCCTTATTTTTCTACCTCTGCTATTTTCTACTTACTGTTCTATTGACAGAAATGTTGACAAACCCTTCCTTGAGATACTGTTGTGTATAGTTCTGAGTTACTTTAAATGTATACCTGTTGGCATAAAGTCTTGTTTACTTATCAAACATGTTTAGTAAACCGCTTAATGTTTGATTTATTGGTTTAAACAAATGACAGTGTGTTTTTTTTGAATATTCAAGTAATTTTTATCAGTCATCCTGTGAATCAGTATGAATCACTGATATTTGCCCATATAGAACACTTATTAATACTGGTAGCTGTAGAAATAAACCAAATATCCCTTCTAAAATAGCTAATATAGTAAAGATTTTGAGGGGGGGTTAAATGCAACATACATTCATCTTCTAATATAATTTGTATTGTTTATTACTGTTAAAGGTATTAAACCCTGGCAATGTACAAGCAGTGAATCAATTGCAGATTAGAGTTTGTGTGCAGCAGAGTTTCACTAACTCAGACCATCCTCTCTAATGTCAAGTTCGGTTCAGGGGAGGAGTGAGGTCTCCGAACCTCGAATGAAAGCACACCACCCCTCTCCATCCCCTCTGACATCCACAGGTCAGATACAGTAGTTGTCCGTCTATCTCCGGAACCTTTCCCCCAATGGAGAGCGGCTTTAGTAGCGTCGGGAGAGATGGGCTGTACTCCGTCTAAGTCGGCCGTCATTTACAGCCAGGACAAGGTGTGCCGGGACCTGGACACCTGCTCCACTTTTGTTCCCAGCCTGAAGAGCTCCGTGTCGACACCGGAGAAGCCTCGGCTGTGTGTGGAGACCAGCAATGGCAGGAAAACTTTCCTTAGTGGTGAGTTTACTGTCGGCTCAGAAAATCAATTGCCTGCGTCTGACACGTGAAGAAGTTGTCTCCCAGGCCTTTTATGTAGTTTAGGGATGAAAAATGACTTTAAAATACATGTGTAGAGAATTCCTGTCTCATGTGTGCTCATAAAAAAAACCTCATCCCCCACAATGTGTGCGATGAGAGCACTTAAGAGGGCACTTTGTTCCAACTGTAGGGCAAAACGCAGTTAAACAGTGCATCAGATTCACGTCCCACGTTTCCATTTGAAGAGTTCGTTTTGTGGACCTTTTTGTGTTTTTCCTCAGTTCCCTGCCGAGATGTCCACGGGCGGTCTGTGAGCCAGTCCTCCTGCCCGGACTCCTGGAGCTCCGCCGGCAGCTCGTCCTGTCCGGATCAGTTCAGCATGAAGCCCCGCAGCCACACTCCGGACCTGCACGGTGACGGTGAGGGCTGCAGCGGGACTGCTTAAAGAGACTCCGGCCTGCAGCTGTGCAGTGGCACTGGGACATGAACTGACAAACACAACAAGTGGACTCTTTATTTCCACACCACGTGTTTGTTTGGTGCAACAGTTTCTCCGCATATTGCTTGTATGGATCTTTGGTTGTTATTTTTATAATGATGGTTGTTGTTATGATATTTAAAAAACAGATGCATGACTATAATAAAGTGTACATTTTGCCTAAGCAGCCTTTTGTACTTATAAATATAATTTTGGGGTACTTTTACTTTTATGCTACTTTATAATTCCACTCTGCTACAGATATTGCACTTTTTACTTGCTACTACATGCTATATTTATTTGATAATTAACAAATAAATATATTACAGATTATAATAAGACTTTTTTGCTTTATTCACAAGATAAATAATCCAATCTCTTTTATATAATCTCGCAAGGCAAAGCTGAAAAAACAAACAAAAGTCAGACTATTATCTCTTCAGTTAATTACAATTACAAAAAAAAAGCAAGCAATCCAAAACGATAAGGACACTAACGCATAACTAGTTTAAAATACTCCTAACATGTGCAGCCAGAAGAAAGAGCATTCGTCAACTCGTCAACAGTCAACTCCTTGTCTTATCTTTGTGTCACGCCAGTCGCAGAAGCTGCAGGGTGCAGGCGGACAGAGGAGCTGTCAAAGCCGTCCTCGTAAACCTCTCTCCGCTCGCGATACTTCCACACTCTCGCGAGCGCACGGTGGCTTAACACGGGCGAGAGGGAGATGGAGAGAAATGAGGTCTGAAAAGGACCAAATGACCGTGGGCAAGGAGAAAAGCGTCGTCGAGATACAGTTTAGAGACATCCCCAGAGAGCAAGAGAACACCCCCGGCAACCCGAAGCAGAAAGAGGAGAAGAAAGAGGTGTTTACCAAGGTAGGCAGCAGAGCGCCCGCGCTGTGTCGCATTGTTTGCGCTGTGTGGGAAGCAGACATGGAGGAGGGCATGGAGGGATGGGATCGTTTCAGCACCGCGGACAGCGACCGGAGGAGAAAGAGTCACGACGATGCCGCGGCTTCAACAGCCTTATATCAGCTTAGACTTCACATCCCCTCTGGTTTCATTTGATGTAGTGTTTTTATATTGTTTGTAAATGACGTTGACGTTTGCTGCTTGTGCTGGAAGACATGTAGTAAACACTGACTAGGTCCTCACACTGTGGCCGGTCCAGATTATTGCATTATCCGTGGCTTAAAACACGCTTTCTCAACATTTTACCCGCTGTAATCTAGGTTTCAGGCTCCCAAATCCTCATTTCCCCCAGTAGTGAAAGAGTTGCCAAGGTGAATCTGAGTAATTCTGCAATTAACAGTTTTTATTACACTATAAAATGTCAAAAATATTGACAGATGTCTATCTGCATGTGCCGAAGTGACGCATTTAACACTTACATACAATTCAAATAAAATGTCCCCTCCATACATAAGATACAAATAGTCTGCTTAGAACAATAATGTGTTTTCCTAGTATAATTTTGCATTAAATCCATAAAAAGGCATCTACTCCTTGTTTAAAAAAAATCTAGAATATACAAATATGAAAGTTTTCCTGCTGGGCACAAGAAGAAAAACATATTTTTGAGTGGAGGAGGACTTTAATTATCACTTTGTTCCAGACAGTATCATGTCTGTGTACTCTATGTTTCTCTTTTTATGTCTGTACTACTCTACTAATCTAATCTAATACTAATCAAATCAGAATATGTGTTTTATGCATCAGTTTGCACACCTTTCCCCAGAATACCCAGAACCTTTGAGATCTCCACTATAATTTAAAAATTAAGTTCTCAGGGTTTGAACAAACGCAATAACTTGCAGGTCAAGGAGGTTTAATGTATTTAAGGGGCACTCAAGCCGTTGAGTTTTGCACATCTATAAAAGTAAAGTGTGTGAAGTTCAAAAAAAAGCTGAACCCTACACGTCCCATAATGCAACTCAGTGGTGTATTTCATCAAACCCTCCTTGCCTGGTAAACGCTGTCACTCTTTTCTGAGGGTACTATTTGTACATTAGGTGACCCCCACTTTCTGGGGATTTTCCATGATGTAATATTGTAGTAAAAAATTCTGTTAGATCTGGAAACAGCAACTTCTCAAGAATGGATCTTAAAACCTGGACCATCCTTTTTGCAGAAATTACCTGCACTACCAACACGGCTCTTCCTGCTGAACTGAAAAAATAATATGTATAGTATATATCAGTAACATATAAATGATTGATTACAGGTGGTGCTTCGAAGGCTTCCACCTAACCTGTCAAAGGACCAGCTAGAGGAACAGCTCAGTCCACTTCCATCCTACGACTATTTTGAGTTCTTTTCAGCTGATCAAAGGTAATCATGATAACCTATTTAACAAATCAACACTTTTTTTTTCAACTTTTTCTTATGTTGGCAAATCTTGTTGGGTTTTTTTTCCGTACATGAGAAAGTTTATGACTTCTCCCTTTTTCTCTCTTTCCACAGTCTTTACCCCCACCTGTTCTCCAGGGCATATATCAATTTTAAAAACCCCGAAGATATCCTGCTGTTTAGGGACCGATTTGATGGTTATGTCTTCATTGACAACAAGGGTATTTCTTGATTTTTGTTTAAACTCAGTTTGGCTTTGTTGCCAGTATGTTGGTGATGAACGTGGGCACACAGTGCAATCTATTCTGCTATATTAAATCCAAACAAAAGCATGTTTGTTTAACAGCTACAGGCAAAATTTTATGGACAGAGAAGTGGCTTTGAGATTCTGTTGCTATTGTTACTATCTGATAACTGGTCTGTTAAATGATGAGCTGCTTTTTATTTCAATATTTACTCAGGCCAGGAGTATCCTGCAGTGGTAGAGTTTGCCCCCTTCCAGAAAATTTCCAAGAAGAAGCTAAAAAAGAAAGATGCCAAAGCTGGGAGCATTGAAGAAGGTAGTGAAATATAAAGCTTGAGCCATTTAGCTTGTTAATCTATTGTTCATGGATTTAAGATGCACACAAAATCAATATTTGGTATGTTTTATGATCAAACATATTTATCTTGGCCCTGCACTCCCTCAGACCCCGAATACAAGCGGTTCTTGGAGAATTACTCCTGTGATGAGGAGAAGTCTATGGCCAACCCAGAGACCCTGCTGGGAGAGATAGAAGCCAAGACCAGAGAGCTCATAGGTACAGTACCGCAGCCTCAGATGATTATTCCCTTGCGAACTAATTATAATAAGTCTGTCAATGTATGTTTACTTATCTCTTACTTATCTTACCTATCTTTATTTTGGTTGCAGCCAAACGGACAACACCACTGTTGGAGTACATCAAAAATAAGAAGATTGAGAAACAGGTAAGAAAGAAAAAATCCACACACTGCTTTAACAATGTGAAGAATCTTTTCAAATGTGCAAAATGTTTCTTTACAGAGAATAAGAGAGGAGAAGAGAGAGGAGAGGAGAAGGAGGGAGCTTGAAAAGAAACGGCAGAGGGAGGAGGAAAAGAGGAAGCGACGAGAAGAAGAGAGACGCAAACGAAAAGAGGCAGAGAAACAGAAGAAACTGTCTGACAAAGACATCAAAATTAAGGTAGTCCTTCATCACTTGAAAACAGTTTCACAGGAACCTGTGCGCTGTAGCCTGTAATTACAGATTACTGTTGCATCTTACATTATCTGCAATGCCGTAGCTCCTAAAGAAGAGTGACAGGGACGATGACGTGGATTCCGACAGAATGAAGGATAAAAGCGACATCGGGGAGGTAGACCGAGGCAAATGGGAGAAAACTGGAGGACAAATGAAGTCAAAGGACTCCAAAGAAAAGTAAGGATTGTGATATCCTGTCCTGTACTGTAGATGGGCAACTTTTTGTTACAGGCGGATGGTGCAAAATGGCCGCTCATACAAATGTGGCACCCACAATGCTTTATTGAGGAGATCATTAACCCCTACAGGTTTCAGTTTTCGTAAGCGACTTCATTCTAGAAGGTCAGAGGTCAGGCAGTCAGTGGGAGGGGTCTGTCCTGATTAATTAAAGAGCTAGTTTAAACAACAGAGTAGAAAATACCAGCCAACAGGGATCAATGCAAATATTCATTTTATTTATTCTAATGGATCATTGCTGATCTGTAAAGCAGTAACATATTATTTAGTAATTATTTATGTTTATGTAGTAATTAAAAGGCACAAATCCTGATCCAAATGAAAAAAGGGTGGGAGCATCTACACCTAAATTTAAAACATAGCAGGGTTGGAATCTGCTATCAGTCACTAAATAATTGTCAAATCTCTTATTAAATGTACTAAGTTGTGTTTTTAATGTTGTTTAAATCATGTTTTGTAAACACATAGACAAAACTGTCCAATATGTTCAATGATGATCTGCTGTGAAACATACATATTACTTGTCACCTATGGGTAAAATAGTTCTAAATGTAAATATTCATTTTGTCATTTTATGGTAGAAAAAAACCTACACCTTACTGTAAAGTGGTATCAAGAATGCTCATAATAACAACTGTTATGTCTGTGTAATAATTATGTATCTGGTGTCTGTGTTATCTCCACTCTGACTACCAGAGGTCAGCCTGAGAGTGACAAGGAGCAGCGAGAGCAGCACAGTCGCAGACAGAGAGATAAGGATCACCGTGGGAAAGATGAAGAGAGGAAACGACAGCGACACCACTATGAGTTTGACAAGTTTATGCGCCGCAAAGATGAGACTAAATGGGGAAAGGGCTACTGCCAGGACCGAGCCAAAAAAGAAGGGCACCATCATGGCTATTCTTACTGTCCAGACAGTGGAGACAAACTGGGAAAGGAGGACAGGGAGGACCTGGGTAACAGGAAAGAACGCCTCCGAAACAAGGTGAGCGAGAAGGTGAGCATGAGATGGGGGGAAAAGGTGACTAATTGCTTTGTTTCTCATGATGTAGTGTTGTGTTTCAGATGTTCATTTCAGATCATTATCATTTATTACTTTCAGTCTATTTATACAGCACTAATATGTGTACTTCTCATACAGTGATAGCACCATTCATGACTAAAACATAGCTTTTTGAAAAATGTGTTATTTTAGTTATCTTCTCACAGTAATGAGACAGATTTAGATGAATTGTTGTACTTCCATAATGTCAGTTATCAAGCTGCTTCCTGGCTTCACATCACGTTAACGATCCTAATCACACACCGCAAATAAATTATTACAAATCTGTAAGCAGGTTTACTTGTTGCAGTCAGCTTTGTCTAGTAAGCTTGTTACTTAAATGACATGTACACAAGAGAAAAGGTTTCCCCATTTACTTGACATTTAATTTCACTACAAAGAGGCACAGGGTTTGATCCTTGGCTTCAGTCTTTGTGTGTGCAGTTCTACCCGTGTTTATACAAGCTTCCGTTCCGTTCCGTTGGCCGTTCTGGGCTAATGTAGAAACATGGCGGTTCAACATGGCAAACACCATGGAAGGCGACTTGGCATCTGTAGATAAAAACGTCTCATTCTAAGGTACAAAATCAGAACAACTCTTATATTCAGGTGATTTTACACTAATGAAAACATACCTCTGAAGACCATATTCCTTTTCTGACAATAGATCCTCCTAAATGTAACACACCTCACCTTTAACTTACTGATGTACATACTGAAGTTCATTTGAATGGTTATCTGATCGCTTAGCTTAAGAAAAAAAGTGAACCAACTACATAGCGATTTCAACTTCTGCAATGAATGCATCCATAACCCTAGCATTCTGGTGCTTCTTCAGGCCTTAGTCAGCACTGGAATATAAATGACATACAAAAATATCCATTAAACACTCCACACAAGTCCATGAAATATAAACCAAACTGAATACGACTATGTTATAGTTTGGAGAGAAGGCTGATGGTCTGAAAAGGAGTTGTTTTTTTTATTACTTCTTGCGAGCGTCTCAGAGATCTTGTGGAAATCTAAGCAGGGAGTTGTTTGTGATTACAGGCCACCAGGATTTCTCTGCCCCTGCTTGCCCAGTGCATGTTGGGATACACTGCCCTGTGTGACTCATAAAAAGAATAAGCAGGACAAAGAAAATGTATATTTGGATATTTATATTCAAATTGTGTGCTGCTTGTCTCTCCCATGTCCCTGCTTTCTTGTCTCCCTGCAGGACCGTCCAGCCATGCAGCTCTATCAGCCTGGTGCACGAAACAGGAAGCGCATGAGCTCCGCAGGCAAAGGCTATGACTGCATCCCTGTGAGCCACTCACCTGAACCCGGCACGGAGCCTTGTTATGATGTCGTCACTCTAGCAACAGGGATGGAGAAGGGGTTTGAGAAAAGCAAAGATGAACAGTGAGCAGCCTGGATGTTTAGAGAAAATAGGTGTGAGGTTTGACTGGTTATTATTGAGCTCTGCAAAAGCAAAGTCTTTTAGTAGTTTTCATCTGCATTAAGTGTAAAAAAAATTCTGAGGGTTTTTGTTTTGCTGGAGCATGAACATTTTTAGTGCACACTAAATATTTTCTCATTGTTTAGTATTCAAAGAATGATCGTCACTTATCATAGCATTAGGTGGAATGCTTGGAATACACCATGTGAAAAATACTGAGAGCAGGGGCAAACAATAGTAATTACCTTCATGATAGCACAACAATTAACTTGATTTCTCACAGTTATTTGGTGTATCACATGCACTTTTTTGTTATTTCAGTTGAACTTGCTAAAATTGCCTCTTGCCACCTAGTTTTCAGTTTCATCAAAGCTTTTTTATATGAGGAAGTCCAATGTCATTCCTTTTGGTCATCATGTTGTTGAAGTGTGTCCCTGTAAGAGGCAGCTCACGTTTGGTATAACAATTATATGGTGAAACCATGACCTCATCCTCATCTTGTTACTAAGCCTTTGTAGACCCAGCTGAACCTGGATGTTTTTAATAAACCTATAGATTTTATTAAAATGAAATATAATGTAAGTAGAACTTACAAATAATAGATGTCGAAAATTTAACAGAGGAAATCCTGTGTGTATTTTTCTGTGTAAAGGTGAGCGAATGAGAAGGGATAAGAATTATCGTTTTACTGCTTTTTCCCTAATTTGTATGTGTCTTATTACATGTGGTCCATCTTATTCTAAGCTGTCATACAACAGAGACAAGATTTTTTGTTGTGAGCAAAGCTTTGTACACGATCACCCATGAGCCAAGAAGAACACATTCTCTACATTTCTATAAAGCATTTCCTAGACGTAAAATGTAACGTTACAAAGTTTGACACACATAAATGAAAACAATACATTTTCTATGCTGTGTGCATGGTTTTCTATTGATTCTATCATCTAAATGTAATGGAAAAGACACAAATATTAATAAAGAAATATAGTCTCTTTAACAGGCCTTATATTATTTTTGCACTTGACCTAACATTTGTTAATCATACCTCTTGTATCATTTGGGGTTTTTCTTTTCTTTAAATTGTGAGAAAATAAAGGTCTTTACCGTTAAAAGAGACTAAACTGTGTCAGTCATTGTGGTAGTTGTCTGACAGTTTGGGTGAGGCAGCGTGTGTCTGCAGCACTGCCCATAGTAGACATTTACAAATGGCAGATATGAGTCAGTTACAGTTACAGGGTTGATGATTGTAAAAGCTAAAATAAAGCCCAGCCCTTTATTTTAACTCTCTGAATGTTAGCTGAGATCACAGTGATACCTAAAGGCAGACGGTCTGTTGTAATTTATGTTATTACTTGTGGATTACAATTGATTTTCCTCAATGTTATCTATTGAAAAGATCAGAATAATCTCACAGACTGTGTCTTTCACACTGTTACCCAGATAAAGCAGAACTGTCATAATCAACAGGAAGCCAGCAGCATAAGAACATGTCCTGTGAATCTTGTGAGCGAGGAGTTTAAATCTGGTGCTCTCACTTCACTTAAAAACACTTTCATACAGCACGTGTGTGTGTTTGTGTATATGTATGTGACGTAAATAGTGGGGAACTTGCTGATGCATCAAACCCTTCTCATAAGAATGACCTAATAGATCCAACTCTCTGAACCCACATATATAGATTTTTTTTGTTTTCTGCATTTGCATACACATCACAGGTATTTGTACTCTCTTCTGTTTTACAGCAGTGGTAATGAATAAAGGTGAAAGTTACACTCCTTGACACATCATGAAATACTTCCCTTCAGGTTTCCTGAGCTCTAGTAGTGTTCAGTTGCCCCACGTGTAAAGGCATGATTGTAGATATAAGTGATGAACCACATGGTGAGGAATAAGGAAATGACTGCACGCGTTCTCCAGGCTGTGACCATGTGAGGATTCTTCGTGTGTCTTTTCATTTCCAAGTCTGTATTTGACGGGCTGTTACTGCCGTTGGTAGGATGAAGATTGTCACATGGCCCATTTCCTGTCTCCCTCAGTCTCTGCCACTGTAAGAAGCTCAAACCCATCACAATATCTATACCTCCATCTGCAACTGACACTCATATACATTAACCTGCCTGCTGTCTCGTCGGTCGCTGCATTCATATAGGTGAGTGTTCAACTGAATGACTTTTACTAAGCTCTATCAA